CATGCGTATTGAGGGGAAACAAAGGCAGTACGGATTAAAGTAACTAACCACCAGATAACCAAACCTACAAAGGCTATTGGAGATACAATAATCTCGTAGAATGGAAACGGCACCCGTAGTGTTCCTTTGTCGAAGCAAAAATAAAAATCGGCCATAGAATAGACGTATACGTAGGCTCCACCTGCCCAGTAGAAAATGGCTACCGTTCGTTCTTGAATAAGCTTTCTTTTATAGCGGATTTCCTCTCCATCACAATCCAGCCACACAACTCCTCTCCGTCGCTGTTCTTGAATAAGGTGAGCCCATACGTTATCTGGGTTCAGAAAGGGGTCTTCATGTCGACTAAAAGGTATATAGACCCGGTCTATATGCTTTGGCAAGGGGGCCACAAACGTCGGAGATCCCCAAAAGGGAAGAGTCGAGTCAGTATATACAAATTGGCATACCGGGTGGCCAGGTGGGGGAGGATCTACAATATCGACTCCCCAATAGCCTCCGAGACACTCAAGATGCGGATAGGCAATCCAGAAATTCTTGTCGATTCGAAGGCTCCAAGGGTCATAAAAGAGCAGAGACCGGAGTCCATATAATGAACTCGGACTGATCGGGCATTTTCTGTCAGTACTACCGAAAAAGGCAAAGAACTGTGTCCCTCTACCTATGGCACAATGCCGGAGTGAAGGGAACGACCATTCTCCAACGTCATATTCAATGACGCCCAGATACAGAACTTCCAGCCTGTCCAGCTGGAGCGATCCACGTACGATTCTGGCCTCAATACGGAGGAAAGAAATTGATGACAAGCAAGTCTGTAGCTGTGATAAGAATCCGATTTCACCGTATTGACGGGTATAGGCGAAGGCCCGCAAATGGGGTATTCGAGATATTCGGTAGAGTAGATTGGAGATGAACGTTTGATAGTCATTAGGCTGGCTTGTCATGTCGTTGATACAAATGTTGGTCAGCTTGGTCAGATCTTCAGGTCTCTCTAGTATTGAGATCTTGTTGGTGGTCGGGTGAAAGTCGTGGTGTATTGAGTTGTGCCACTGAGAACCCTTCTCGCATGTCTCTT